TCCTCACTGTGCCTGGTTGGAGACACTACAAGATATGGCTGCCAACCGCAGTGAGTGGCGTTCTTGTTGTCAGTTTCTATCCAGATCACTTGAGTGCGGTATGGGCACCTCGAAATGATTGTGGTAAGCTAACACTAAGGCCCTTCCCCGTCCACCGTTACTATTTTCTTTCAAATAGATCAAGGTTGTAGGGCAGTAAAGAATGGGTGTTGAACACTGATGTCATGCTTTCGATGATGATGGTGATGATGATGATGATGATGGGGTATAATAAGAAGTTTTTTAATTATAATGTCCTTGGAAGTGGTCGCCCATGGCAACCGAAACATCCGATTACAACCACTTATTTCACCATGCTCTGTTTTGAATTTATAATTTAAAAAATTATAACCAGTTTTCTCCAACAGGGAGAGGTGGCATTCACAGCACCCGTGGAATATCTCAGGCAAAGTTCCAAGAAACCTTCTAGAGGGCACTTCAGTGTATCAGTTTTATATGGACATTTGATTGCATTAAAGTTGCTCATATATCATTCACTTTTCCACTTACTGGGCGGTTTTTCTGCGGACAATTTTAAAAACTGTGGTTCTAGACTCTGTGTGAGCATAATTTATCATGCCTACTTAAAACGTTTGTATTGATATTTTTACTTAAAATGCCCATAAAAAACTGCTTCCCACAGTCTGTCTGAAAAAACTGAACGGTTTCTCTGGTCCAAAATTGCAAGGTTCTACGGATCTTAGACCCTCCGGAGTAGCAGATCAGTTGTGAACAGACAAGCCGACTTTAATCGCTGGTCTACCTTTCAAGCCAATGCGGTTGCTGAGATTCACCCTACTCAACCACAACAGTACAGTTTAATAAGCCGTCTCGAAAGGAATTGCGAACCAGGATTCACTGATGCCAGCTCGCTGCGAAGTTATCCGTTGACAAGCACAGACCAAGCACTTACAAATCATTTGAGATACAAAAGCAAACATCTTATCTTCACAGATCTTCTCTTGAAATCTCCTGGGCATTCTTCGATTATTTAACGGCTTAAAATGAATACTGCAACTTTATCTCATAATCTCAATGGCAACATTGATCTTCCGTCACATACATGGGCGGAGCTTGGGGATCGGACAATGGACTACTTGCATGCTCCATCAGTAGTTACACCATTGGTAGTAGTATGTATATCTTCCCATTTTTTTCATTATGAAAATAATCGTTCGTCTAATTAAGTCCAGATCATTTGATCCGAATTAAAAGTTACGGCCGTCACACAACACTACCTCCAGGAACCAAACAAGCTGGTATTTTTTTGCAAGATGATATCTGCTGCGTAGTATCTCCAATGACAAAAGTTTGGGCAATGAAGTCAAGATAAACCCTTCTGGATATGGCCCCCTTTCTGGGTGGGTAGAGAACACATGGGTTTGGCAGCAACTTATGCACATGAGCTTGATCAGTAAAAAAACTACTGATGTATGAGAAAACTCGAAAATTTTATAGAGACGAGGGATAAGGGGCATTTTAGACTGACTCCACTAAAGACTTACTTTTAATCGCCTCTGGGAGAGAACAGTTTGAGAGACCAACATTGTATGAAGACACCTGGTAACCGATCCGTTTTTGTCAAAGACATTACAAACGCTGTGCAAAAGGGATGATTGGTGCAAGCTAACAAAATTATTTTCGCAACGTCACTTGAATGGATGACAGTCCCACCATTTGAGGGGGTCCCATCCTCATTGCTGAGAGAAAGCAGTGTCGTGGTTTGTAGTCAAAGAGATCTACATTGAACGGTGGCTGAACTATGCCAGGGCAGCGCAGTACTCTGTTTCAAACAGGGACTTACAGAAAACGATTCAACGCAACAGATTATTACTCCATAAAATCGAGTGGGAATCCGCTGTACATTCTACTCTGATATGCACTGAACACAAGTTATCTGCTAGCAGACACTTCCTAAGCAGTAATAACTTTAGTGACTGGAAAGCGTTTTCGAGTACTGAGCAGTCACAAGCTATCCGACAAGAAATTAAAAAACTTATTTGCACAGAAGCTTTTGAGAATGTCAGCATTCTTAAACATGCTTCTAAAATTTCCCGTATGTTGTTTGTTTGCTGAGCGATATTAAACGGAAACTGTGAAAGGTCTCTTTAGGTTTCGAAGCAATCCTCCACCGGACGTATCGACGGCTTTCCATACTACTCAACCAAATATTGCTCGCAAGTTCCATCACTAGTGTAAGCTGTTACATCAATGGCTCTCCCATCCCTTTTTTCGGGCTACACTATTGTCGCAAACCTACAAGTGTTATAGTGCTCAGTCATCGATGACTCAGTTCCCGTTTTCTATTTATTAAACTACTCATCAGATCTAAAATGAGAAATGTGAGAAATGCCGCGACACCAGACATTTACTCGATTGATGGCATGGTAGGATCCTTTTAGCGCCTGAGTATGTGGCTACCAACAGGGTGTGATTTGTCAACTGCTTGAAGCGAATCCTTTCATAAATTGATGGAGCAATCCACTGATCTGCTTTTGGTTGAAGCTGTTCGCCCTATGTGCAGCGCTCTGGTATACGTTGATGTCACCACTATCGCTTACGACCACTAAATAGTCGATCGAGTACGATTCAGTTACTTTCCACAAACGTATGAAATAGTGGAAACTGCAGGTCAAACGATGAAGGAGTACGTTGATAACTCACGTGGTTCTAAATTAGGCGGAATTTACACAACATATATCCCATATTACTTCTGTTAAGAAAGGTGACATTAGTTACTCGCTATAAGGATTGTTTCCCGTTTTCTTCCACACTAGTGAGTAGAACGATGATCACAAGTGATATTGCATTGGTTATGAACCAAAAGCATTCCTTATTGGTCATCCACTATACAATTTTCGAGAGGCTACCGCTGCAAGTGCTGCATGCGTGGTACTTTGGTTGCGGCTGATCCACATTGACTCTTGAGCAGTCTACATGTCTTTGTAGACTTGTTGTTTCCAATAGCACAGAGATGTAGGCAGGTCTAAGTTTTCTTACTTGGAGTCAAACAGTATGACATAATGAGCTAGTTAGGGAAGGTCTTGATTGTATATCAGCCACAACGCACAATGGTGGTTAGCCTGGTTGTCTTACCAAAAATTGTAGAAAGAAGATTATCATCGCATGACGGTTGGAAGAGGACGAGAATGGAAGATGAGTACAGAATTCAGTGGGGATTTCATTCTTTCAGTGAAACCAATGCATTTTGAAAAGCCAAGAAAGACTGTACACATGCTTCACCCCTGCTGGGAATCGTCAACAGTGTGCATCCAACCAAACTCAGAGAGTTTCGCAGTCGTGACCTCCCGGTCAGTGACTGAATAGTCGACCGTTTGCCAACGAGTGGCTGATCATCAGTGTGATTAGTTCTCATTTAGATGGCAAGAGACACCACTTATCCTCTGATAGCGGAGGCCACATTCTGCCGTCCTGTACTGACTGGCTCCTTGAGGGGCTACAAATGCCCCTTTCAGTGGAAGGAAACTTCATGTGATAATTCGACGCTTGAAGTTTAGCAGCGTGATGCGCCTGTGCACCAGAAGAAGAGGTTCTGGTCAGGTATCAATGATATATATAAATATATAATAAATAATCATAAATGAATACATTATGTAAAATTGACCTCACGTTCCAGTTAGTATGATATTTAAGATATCACATGGTATTTAGTTGGTGATACACTCTACTCGTAACTTTGCTGAAAATGTTTCAAACGCCAGCAGTCGGTTTCGAGGATTTGGACTTCGTCATGTAGGCGTAGTCCTCAAAGCCATTATTCACTTGAACGCAGAAGACCAAACAACCCCGTAGTCTTTACTCTGGTCGGATTACCAGCCTTGTGTTTTTTTTCAATTCATTCCCCAGGTATGCTGTTGTGAGTCACTAAAAATTCGGCGCGAACTTATGTGCCACTTGATGAAATCAAGGTACAATTACCCCAAAAAATAATCAATAATGTGCTTTTTTTAAGTTCTGTGCAACGATGCAAAAACGGTAGTCGAATAAATTCCAGCCTCATATGGTTCGCATTCCAAGTTAGAGCGGTGTTATCCCTATATACTAGTGCTAAGGCGAGATGATTCAGTGGTAAAAGCGCAAATTTAATGGCTCAAATTTAGGGGGTTCGAATCCGACCTCTACCTGTGGACTTCCCCTGTCTAGGCTTGGGCAACCTGGCAGTAGCCCAGCCCCCGTGCTTTCTTCTAATGGCAGTTAGGCACCGAAAGATTGCTACAGCTGAACGGCTAGTTCCAGTACAAAAGACAATATCAACCATGTGAACAATACTACTGCTCGTGATCCACAGTTCCATACCATTTACCAGGTGAATATGACAGATTTATTTCAAAAACAACAGATTTTCAATAAAAATCTTGAGATATACTGGATAGTAACAAACTTCTGTTATCCAACTGTAATAAGTGGACCAAGTTTCACTTACTAAGAGCTTGGTATAATGTGCGACGAGAATGTCAACAAAAAGGTGTAAAGGTGCTACAACGGATCGGACTTTGAAAATGCTGATTGTAGCAGAGTACCATTAAAAGGGAAGGCTTTGGCCATCATTACGTGAGAGGCTCGCATGGAGTGCCCTCGAGGAGTAGACTGTCTTCAGCATCTGTCTTCCCTCTTCGTTACACATCATTTTATCATTATCCTCTTTCTCTTGAAGTGAATAATGTAGACGTTTTACAGAATACATTCCGCATGAGTTGTATGCATCGTATTCTATGCTTACCACAAAAGGCTAACCAGCACCTTCTGTTAGGAAAACCCGTCTACATCAAAGACCCGAGAGAAACTGCACAGCTGTTGGTAGTCTGAGGACACCTGGAAGTGTTTGTGGAGAGTTCGCCCTGTAAGTGAGGCCAATCAAGCTGAAAAACTGAGAAGCACTTTACAGCCGTTCCATTCTTATTGGGAAACCTCAGCTGTGCGTATCTAAGGAAACTCGAACCCGCGACCTCCTGACTGGTAGTTTGAAAACTTCATCGCTCGGCCACGAGTGGCTATTCAGCAGTTTGGTTAACTCGCACCTTAAAGGATATAGCGCCACTCATTCTTCAATCACGGGATTCACATCACTCGGTCACACGTGTTGGCTTGCTCCTCAAGTGATGTATTCACAGATGAACGTTTTATTGGTCTTGTGAGTTACATTCCACTACTTATAGATCGTTGGTAGTGTGGGGATACCGTGATCAAAAAATGAGTGGGACCATATACTTTCTTGGTGTGAGTTAGTCAGAATGCTCATCAGCCGGTCATGGTCAAACAGTTATGTTCAGGCTATCATCCACGCAGTCGTGGTTGCGACGCTTCCTGGAGTTTCGTGCTCTGTGCGCTACTGATAATTATCAACAAGGATGAAACAGTTGTATAGTATTTTTGGCTCTCGAGCATAGATTGGCTTGACTGACAGGACGACACAGCATCAAAAATTCTAGAATCACACCAAAATTATCACCAGCCAACCAACTCTCTTTGATCAGATAGCGCAAGCTTTTTAAAACTTATGGATACTGAAGTACCCCAAAATTGTGTTCAGCATTTCACACTGAGCACCCTAATAATATTGCATATCCCAGACCTACTCTCTGGTCTGATGTGACAAGTTATATATGCATCCGTAGATTTATCAGGACTTTTTAGTTTATTATATGTTTCACAGGCTTATTTCACAGGCTCACAAATCACATGGTTTGTCTACGGGATGAGGTCATTCGCTAGCAAGGGGTTACGGGAAAAGTTTTGTCTTACATTATAAGCAGGAGAGCACAAAAAATGTGACCAAGACTAGAATGTAGGCACTATAAGTTATCCTGAGTTTTGAATTTTCCATCACCAACCAACGTGCTTGAATTCAGTTCAGTGTCTCATTTAAATGGAGCACAAAGCAAGGTATTCCGCTTCACGTCATGCGGGATGTTATGCGGACGTCATCTGCAAGATGTCGACGGAACTAAGCCATAACCTCATGCTTACCTGTATTGTAAAATCCTGGCTTTCATTCATTACGCTCTTTTTACATTTTAGTGTATTCTTACTCCACCAGAAGTTTTATTTCGTGACGTTTAACCTTGCTTTACAATTTCTGGTGAAATACTATGTTCCTGCTTTCCTGCAAGTGACAATAGGCGTTTGACAGTACCAAACGAATAGAACTTGGCAAATTGCACCCTTTTGTAAACAAATTTGGTTTTGCGAGAGACTCACCTGGAACCCAGATGAATGTCTCGAGTTTGATGTTTTCAGGCAACTAAATGTGCTGCACCATGCTGCCTCATGTTTCAGTCGCTGCGACATTCGAGATATCGCGATAAATGTATATTCGTACTACACTACTCATAAGTTTACTGAAAATTTGTCGACAACCCACGACAGGTTGACGGAAATTTGGGGGCTGCGCCTACCTGATGAGCCCCAAGAAGGGCGAAACCGGTGGTGAGCTGTCGACAAATTTTCAGCAACCCTATGATTAGTGCATTGAAAAAACTAGTTGTTCACGAGGAAAACTTCCAGAAGCTTCCAGGCTGCAACAAAGTTTATGTTGACAGGTCTACGGGGAACGTGAGCATCCTGATGTGACAACAGACCATTAGCTGGGATATTGTTTGATTCCTCTTCAAACCAAAATGTATGGTTAGCTCTGGAAAAGGTTTATTCGTGCGACGATTGAACCATCTGTCTAAGAAGTCTTCATCTGAGAAACCAGCCAACACGTAACCAGGTGAGGTGGGTTCCGTAATTGACGGATGAGTGGCGCATTGTTCAAATGCGAGCTAATAAGATGACTGATGCGCCACTCGCTGTCGAACTAGCCGGAAGATCATGGGTTGGAAACGATTTGGAGTTTTGTGAAGTCCGCACTGCTGGTGAGTCTCAATGAGGATGAAACAGCTGTACGGTGTTTCTCAGTCTTTAAGTACAGATTGACTTCACTTGGAGGACGATATTTCAGTCGAAAATTACTAAATCTCCCCAGCACTCTTACGAAACCGTACACGGACACAACAGTGAGAACCCAAACCAGAGAAGAACCTCTCTGTGGTGAATTTCCTTATTCTCAATCTTCCGAGTACGCTGAAGTCTTCCGTTGAGCAATTCCGCTGTAATTCATCCGTTGGTCATCCCGAGATCCTTGGGAATTTTATGGTGCTGTCATTTAAGAGAACAACTACACGGTTACGCTGCTCGTGTCTAGGCCATGACTCATCTGTGTGTCATTCTGAGCCGAACTGGTGAGTACTGCTCATGTTGAGTGTAACTCAGGGTCCACTATATTTTAGACGAAACATATAACATGAACTCTCTCAGAACCCTGCTCAGACTAAATCAAACTTCATCTGTGAAAAGCTGTATCGATTGATACTGGTTAAAAATTGGAATAATCTGAGTTGGGTTGGAGCGCAGATGAACCAGAAAAAAGACAGATGGTTCTAATAACCCTCTCCTGTCAAGAATTTGCCACAAGAACATCAAGCACTTGATGCGAACTTGTCTCGTGTCACGGTACACGTCAGCAGCTTTTCCCGCTAATCTACTTGTTTTCGGCAGTGACATGAGCAACGTAATTGCCTAATTGAACATCCAACTTCCCTAATTAGTTGGATGAGTAATATACAGAAAAATTTGAACATCAGCTGAACATTGATTTTTTCCGGTAACACCTCGGCATCGTCGGTG